GGGGAGGGGAAGGGGGGGGCAGGGAGGGAGGGAGAGGGAAAGAGAGAGAGAGAGAGGAGGGAGGGGGGGGACTTTGCCAAACTATCCATTATGTGATTCTGACACGTGCTGCTTCGTTTCTTCTTTGCCTTTTGCCTTCCAGGAAATGTTCCAAGATGCACGCCCAGCATTACAGCTCCCATGTCAATGCTACTCCCGACAAGTCCCCCGGGTGAAGAGCAACTGCCTGATTGTTTCATTCATACCATGCAAGAACTGCTGAACATCAGTGGCACTCCTGTAGTTGGAGGCGACTTCCAGCAACTTTCCCGGGCCAATCATCAATCACATCATCTGGGCCCACCAAACTGAGACTCACCCACACACGCATGCACTTGCACACATACCGTCACACATAGAGTCAAAACTCAACAAGTAAGCACACTTCATACATGCAAGATCGGTTTATCACAAACATATTCAGAAAACACAGCAAACAAACTCTGAATCGGAATCTTTAGCAAAAGCATTAACGGGACAACGGGCAGGACAAAACAAAAACGATGCTGCAAAGGTAACGGCTTCCCAAACAAAACAGTCACAGATAAAGAAAGAAAAAGGTTTGGTGGTATTCCTTCCTTTTTTTTTTTCTTCTTGCCCACGGATGTCTGTCTGCTCTCAGGTTCTTCTTTTTCTTATTGTGGAAGAAGAGGCCTATGATAGGGCAGTTCCTTAATGCTTTTCTAAGTTTTCTTTCTTTTGTGTTTTTTCCTTTTCTGTTTTTGCTGGCGTGCGACGGGTCATCTAGTAGGTGATAAGCCTCTGTAAGCTTCTGACTTCAAGCGGTCTAATTGATCGGAATCTCCTCCATGCTATCTCACTCTCTGTGTGTTCTCCTCCCTGAGTACTCTGGTTTATCTGCTCTTAACGCTTTTGTCTCAAGAAAGAGTATTATACGCGTTTTTCTCCTGCCGGGACTTCTGTCTTTCCTTGCCTTCTCCTTCCGACCGTCATTCCCCCGTACCTTCCTTCTGTGCTTTTCTTCCCTCCCCCATTTCCCTGTCCCACGCTCCTATGCTTTTCTGCTGGACACTCCACAAGCGTCCTCTATATTGCTGCCTCCTCCTCCTCCTCTTGCTCCCTCTCCATCCTCTTCTCTCCGTCTTTGATATGGCTACTGTAGCAGAGAAACTACAAATATGATCTGAATGTCCAAAGACTCTCATCAAGAACCTGAATCTCAGCAAATCTCTTGGATGATACCATCCTTTTCCATGTTGACAGACCTTTCCTTCCTTTCTTCCTGCCTGCCTGCCTGCCTGCCTGCCTGCCTGCCTCCCTGCCTGCCTGCCTGCCTGTATTTCTGTCGTTCTGTATTTCTGTCGTTCTGTATTTCTGTCGTTCTGTGTTTCTGTCGTTCTGTATTTCTGTATTTCTGTATTTCTGTCTTTCTGTCTTTTTGTCTTTCTGTCTTTCTGTCTTTCTTTCAAAGGTTGGCAAACTCTTAGAATCATCACAGTCTAACTTTCCTGACTTGGTCCTCGTCTTGTTGATGGCGTTGACGGTGATGATGATGATGATGGTGTCATGAACAAAGGGCGGACATTGCAGCCATGGTCTCCAAGGCGCCGTCGATTCTGGGATTCAGCACATCGACAACTCTGGCACCCAAGTATGAGTACGCAGTCAATGAGATTGGTGTCAAAAATGAGGCCATAGTTGCATTTCCAGCCTATTTCAGCTACAACCTTGAAAAACGCATCAAACGGCGGTTTGAGCTTGCTAGGTCACTTGGGATGGAGTACCGGCTGAGCACTCTTTATGGTGTTAGAGATTCGAAATTCCTAGGCGGGTTGACCGGGGAAGAAGACAAACAAGTCATGGAGGCGAAATTGGCCAGGAGAAGAAACAGGCAGAGAAGCGCTACTGCTACTGCGATCTCTTCTGTAGGGAGCACAATAAAAAGGGGCCGAGGACGACCAAAGAAGAAGACTGTGGCTGGGTCTGCAGAAAGCTGATGTGATGCTCGCTTCCAAGGTAGTCGTGGAGATTTCTTCTTCAAAATTTTAATTGTGCGATCGCTTTTGTTAATGTGATTCTCAAATTGCGATTTGCAACGCAGTAGCAGATGAGTGAGTGGATGTGAGGTGCTGTGATGACGCCCGGAAACGGAAGATGGAAGGCATGCAGCCAATTCACGGATGCTTTTCTGGTGAACCGTTTTGCAGTGGGCATGACCAGCAAAGAACAAGAATGGAGTGGCATATTTTCCGCTATTACTGTGAGGCTTCATGACCACTCAAAGGAACTGCTTTTTGCAAGTGGCAGGCAAAGCAACCAAGCAGATGGGCATGTCTGTATGCGTGTGCATGAGAGAGAGAGAGAGAGTTCAGTAATATGCCTGGAGAGCGCAACACATTCTTCTCCCTGTGAAAACAATGTAGGTGGTGGAGAGGCAGAGACGATTGAGCAGAACGAGAGAGAGAGAGAGAGAGAGAGAGAGAGAGAGAGAGAGAGAGAGAGAGAGAGAGAGAGAGAGAGAGAGAGAGAGAGAGAGGCGTTGTCATGTGGGGATCCCCAGGGGCCAAGCCGGGGTTCCGGTTTGACCCCCACACCCCATGCGGGGACCACCGACCGCCGAACCTCCTGGGGCGGGGGGCTGCCCTGGGGTCCAGATTTTGGAAAAGAGAAAAGGTGTTTCCCTGCGCTCCCCGCAAGGAGTTACGAGGGGAACCGATTTCCCCCCCTAAAAAACGAGATTCTGCACAAAAATAATCAAAGCCACCGGCCCGTGCGGACCCCGGTGGGCTCCCCCCATCCCCACTCGGTCTTCTCGTATCCACGGCCGGCGCATCCCCGCGCCCAGCCTAGCCTCCATCCCCGAGCCCACCTCCAACCCCTCCCCGGCCC